CATATTCATATGGTTGGTATGAATGTCATCCATTTCATACATGTCGGTACCATGGAGGTGGTTTTAATTTCTGTGGTAACGCTGAGAAATAGCAGCGATAACATCTGCCAGAAGTGTTTATAGAATTCATCAGGGAATCCGTCAGGTCCAGGTGATTTATTATTTGGCATGGATTTCAGTGCTTTATGGAATTTTGAATTTGAGTTCATCCAGAGTGATGGGGACATTGAATGTGTCGGTTTGTTCTCTGGATAGCGTTGGTAATTTTATATTTTTTAGGAAAATATCTATTTCAGATGGATTTGGTTCGTGATCAGAGGAGTATAGTTTACTATAAAAGGCTTGAAATACATTATTAATATCCTGTGGACTATGAACTGTTAACATTGTAGTTGATTTGCCAACTATTTACCCATCTTGTTACTATATTGAAACTGTTCATATTTGAGTTGTTGGAGTAGGAATTGTGGGGTTTTTTGTATAATATATTTTAAGGTTGAGTTTTGAGGTGGTTCAATTCATTCTGTAGTTGTTCAGTAGTGTTATTGAATATGATTCTCTCAGTTGTTTTATCTTTAGTTCCAAATTGTTTTCCAATTCTTGTTGTTGGTTTTTCTTGTATGATGAATATGATATTATTTTTTCTCTTATATATATATACTGTATACATGCACATTGAGAACCGATGTACCAGAGTCAAAATTCCTCATGTGTCCGACACACCTGGCCAATAAAGTTGATTCTGATTTTGATTTTATATATATATATATCTTTGGACAGAGCCAGTTCTGCTCACCCTGTATCCAGTGCTAAGTTAAACCTCTCATCTACTCTTGACAAGTAGGAAAATGAGCATACTTCCCAAAATATTCACCAAGCTTACTGTTAAAGCAACATAGTGGGAAAGATGTTTTGTTACTGAGAATGAACCTTCTATTTACTGCCTATTTAGATTTGTTATTGCTCATTTACTTCATATTTCACTTGTATTGAGTGGCATTTATGTGGACGGCAAAGTAAGAATTTCATTGTACAGGGAAATATGTTTCCTAACTGTGCATATGACAAATAAACACTTTGACCTTGAACGCTTTGACCTTTGACCTGTAGGCCCCACTGGTTTCATGCTGGAAACAGACCATCTCTATCACCGTCTTTGAATCCCAGTATTCCAGTGCTCACAGACAGACCACATTTCAGCCTTTCTCTCCCTCTATGTGTCAGTCTGGGCCCCATGAAGCTGCTGTTTCCATATAATAGCAACTTAATCTGAATTTACATCCTGAATTTTGTCCTTCATCTCTTGATGTGGCTTAGCCGCTCACACATGATGGACAGGTACTGGGTCAGCTTCACCATGGCAATAAGGATGGTTCCTCCAATCAAGGTACAGGTTGGCCAGAACAGGGAGTGGAAGACAGCGACCCGACCGTGGATCTGGGTCAAAATGGCATTCTTCATCCTGTCTGTAGGGTCCACAAAACACTGAACTCTGGACTGAGACCTGAGACGCTCAGAAATGTTCTGAAGCATGGCGAGTGTGGCTGCGTAGTCCTTATAGCACTTTGGAATGTAGAAACACTGAAGAAGGAAAAAGAGGAAAACAGAGTGGAGCAGAAAATTAGGTTTAGGTTCTGCTGTTATTATAGAGCCGGCTGGTTTGGTCGTAATCCAGATGTGTTTAGGCTCCAGACGTTTTTGATCTCTCACTCATAAAAAAACAACAAACTTTGCTTAGTCATTAAATCACTAAAATGTCCATGCACTTGAAACTACATAATGATTTTGACCAGCTGGATTGTCCCCTGTAATAAATATGGATTTGTAATGAACTAATACCGATTATACTGTTGTGAAAATGTTGCATATTAAGTTGCATGTGTAAACCTACATAGAATAGTTTTTTAAGCATCATGCAAAGCAGCCAAAATTACACTAAAACATTAATAACACCTTTCTTTAGCTTTCATTATCCACAACATCTTTTTAGAGGTAGCAATCAGGTCAATTTAAAGCTGTGTGGACTGAAAATTCAGTGAGCTGGAGAGGTCTCATCTAGCCTGGGAACACCTCCCCAGGAGGAGCAGGAAAACGTGGGGAGAGAGATATCTGGATAACTTTACTGAATGTGCTGCCACCACAACCTGATTCCGGATAGCAGTGGAAAACATATGGATAAATCAGACATCAGGGATTAATGATCAGCTGGTGTCCCCTCTAGGAACACCGCAGTAATCAGAATACAGACTGAGTTGTTTCCCCTCATTTTTATTTAGAAATGAATCCATGTGAATGCTTTTCCCCACACACCATTAGCATATGTAAATAGTAAATTTATATACCAGTGCATGTGAAACTTTCCATCCTCAGATGCCTGTACATACATACAGTATAAAGGCTAATCTCAGTTTACACTGAAATCATTTAGAGCTTTCCTTATTTCATAAAATTAAAAGTATTACATGATACAAGAAATCGCATCTGTCAGGAGTTTACTTACACATAGGTTGGACATCGGCATCTGTTCACAAGGAATGTTTCCATATGTAACTGGACAAAACTAAAGGAACAAAAACATATTTATCTGTCCAACAGGACCAAAGATGCCAGGATGGCGTTGTGCAGCTGGTTTGTACCTCCGGGTTGCTGTCCTGGGTCTCCTCGTTGTGCAGCAGTCGCACCACCTTCTCTGAGGAGTTGAGGCTGACGTACACCTGGAGACAGGGGTAGCTGGAACTCCTCCAGCACTCTGCTCCACAGCTGTATGAACAGTTTTCATACCAAGTGATGGTTGCGTTCACGACAGTGCAGCTGGCCTCATCCGTCCATACACTGTAGAACAATTCAGTGATTTTCACATGATGCAGGATCATATCTTAACATTGTAGTGTGTTTTGAGAACACTTTAAAGGTTTAGTCAATGTGTGTGCACATGCAGATGAAACTTTGATCCATTAATCACTATGTATTTACAGTTTTGTTTTGCACACTGAAAGTGTTGTTACCTGTCAGAGTACGAGCGCAGTACGGTGATTCCCAGTAAAAAGTACATCATGACAGAGAAGAGGACCATGCTGAGGCCCAGCAGAATGGCTCTGTCCTCTCCTGCTTTCAGAGCTGTCATGGTCTTCCTCTTGTCCAAAATCTCATATGCATGAATCTTTTGGTAGATGGATCTGTAAAAGGGTAACAGTGAAGATGCATCTTGACAGTTTCCTCTCATTTTGCCACTCGTTCTTGTCAGACTTTGGGTACAGGGACCATTAATATCTGTCTCTTGTGTTTAACATTGGATTCTTTCATTTTCCAGCAGTTGAGCACTGGATGTAATGGAGATCATGATTCCTGCAGTGGCTACATGATCATCATTTAATGGAGCTGTAGCCTTTGTCTGATCCCTAGATAACATACAGTACAGGACCCTAAGCTGCATATTAGAGTCTCAGATAAAATCTTGCTGTTCCTAAATTGATGCTGAAGACTAAACATGATCAGACAGTCCCACTGGTTGGAAGACTGAGTAGGTAAGTGTCGTCTTTTAAATTACCTCTGAAAACTGAAGACTGGCTTATTGTTATTTTTGTTATGCATTCGTGTGGTCAGCTCTTACTTTTACATTCATGTGTCATATTCACCTAACATTCTACATTCAAATCAGTCCATTCTGACTTTTATCATTTTCCTGCTGTGTGCTATTATGATTACACCTTTGAATGTGTAATTTACAGAACTGTTTTTTTAACATGAATGTGGCCTTTTCTCACCCAAGCATATATTTGCAGTGATGGCAAAACAAACACAGGTGAAGCAAGATTCAGTACCTGTGGTTATTTCCCACCCAGTGAAACATCCTGTCTGAAGAATGTGGATACTGTAGTCTGCTGTTGCTGCCAGAGGCGCTGACCCACCTGTGAAACATTTAGATACTGTTAGTCTTTGCCTCATATTCTCAAATGTTTACTCTGAGAAACCCAGAGCTGTGTTTGTGTGTGTATACAGACTGTAGTTGTACAGTAGTTCACTCTGTAAGGCGGCTCTGGAGCAGAAAACAATCCAGACTTAAACCTTGGTATAAAAAAGCAAAATAGGTTTGTGATTGTGATAGATAAGCAAAGGTAAAATCACATTTTGTTTAATATTAATATGGGAAAGTCATTTAAATTTCAGTCACACAGCTCAGAAGAATCCTACCAAAGCCCTATTCAAACTACAGAATAAGTATGGTTTGGCACCTTGGTCAGGTGACCTCACAGCAGCATTCAATTATCATCAAGAATTAGACTGGAGATCAGATAAACCCGAGTCCAAACTATTACCTTCATTTGACCTACTTATTGTAAATGTTGTCATTGCTAGAGAGAAATCTTTTTACCCCCAGTTCCACAAACCAGCTGATTTTGAGGAAGCTATAAAACATTATAAAAATGTTTATAATGAAATAAAGAAATAAAAAGTGCAGCATTAATTTCAAAAGATTTCCAAGAAACAGTGTAAGTGAAACAAAATCTGCTAATAGAGACTGTGTAGCAGAAAGGAAACTACTGAAAACTGAGAAAAAAAGAAATTGGTCAATAACAATCCATCGTCTGCAGCCGTTCTTCAAATATGAAGCCACAGGTCTTTGTGGTTATGGTGAAAGAAGCATAATGGCTCTTCTTTTGACTGTTCTGTCTGCAGTGTCAGGTCTCTACCTGCAGTGTAGCCGCGTTTACACAAGCCTCACCAGCATCTGTGAATGTGGATGTGGGAGGTGGCTGTGCTGTGCTGCTGTGAGCTGGAGTTGACAGAAAGGTGCACAAGACAAACCCTGTCTTCCTGTGGAATAGCGACGCTGGGATCTATTTTCAGAGAGGGGTATTTAAGCATGTTAGCTTAGCGATTACACTGTCATCTCATAGGTAGAGGGTTCTTGTTCTGCTGTCTGTGTGTTGTCAGTCCAAACACACACAGGTGTGGAGAAACTGGTGCTTTAAACAGAACATGAAAAACAAATGATACAGTACAAAATAGCAGCCTAGTTTATCCTATGGCTCAGTGAAAAAAGAAAACATCTAGCAGGATAGAGAAACATCTAACAGCCATATACTACCACCCCAACACCCTTGCATATCTCACGGCTCTCCAGGTAGGTGTTACCATCAGGTGGCGTGGTACTGACACAGGTGCTGCCATTCTCTGTGACAGGGATGGAGGCCTAAATCCCAAGATTTGAGTGGAGCTGCTCAGTGATGGGCCAGTCAGACTGCAGGTTTACTGAGTGGCCTCCAGGTATGAATGTGTGTAACTCTGTGTGTGTGTGTGTGTGTGTGTGTGTATACAGCATATAGCTGCAATAAAAACCACTGCTCTCTGTGAAATGTCCCTGAATAAATTAATCAAACAAAGTTAAGGTGAACTACAAGGCCGTGTTACAATACAGGCATATTTACAAACAGGACATAGTAGTTACTGGATTCTGGCAGATTTTCTCTTCTTATGGAAATGCAGGGCTTGATCAACAGGTAAAACTAATTTTCACATAGGGTGGAAATTAACAGTTTGTGGTAAACTGATCAACTGTAAATTTGTTGGTTTAATATAAACTCAGTTTTACTTGGTCTTCCAGTGTGTTGCTGAGGGCTTTGTATAAACAAGTTTGGATTTGGTTTAATCAGACCATCACTAACAAACTGGCCTAGAGTACAGATGGTTAGGACTCCAGGAAAGGCATTGTATAATGAAGGTGCCGTGTTTTCTACCATCTACCTACAGAGTATGGAAAAGGCAACAACACATGCACACTACACAGAGGGTGTTATGGCACTGGCTGAGAGTCAGACCTGTGCAAAATGCTGCATATAAAAACCATAGCAATGAGCTTTAACTGTATCAATAACATAATGAAGGCAACATTAGAAATTACACCTCATATAAGACACTTCATTGCTTCTGTCTTGTCTTCTGCATTTAACACAGAGTATAATAACACTCTTCACTCAATAATAAGCAAAAAGAGCTTCCACTCCAGAACTTTGCATGGTGTAATCAAACACCAAAAACTGCCAGAAGTATTTGGGACCTTCTATTATTCAGACTCTCCAAACATACCTTCAAATGCTGCTGAAGTCAGAAAATTTCCTTGTAGCCAATATTCATTTTGTCATCAACCCTCAGCAGGCATCCCATAATACTGCAGACTGAGCATCTGCCATAATAACCACCTTGTCCCTCGCTGCTCACACAATTAATCAGTGTGTGGTGATGATGATTTGGGAGAGAGAGACAGCGTTTGGTGACAGAGTAGCAAGGAACAGATGAGAGAGAGCGATAGAGCAGAAATAAAACGACTGGCAGTGTTGAGCCATTTATAGACCAACATCCAATCGCCCCTTTGCTTCTAAAATCCTTGATAAAACTGTTGCAATGCAATTTACCACTTGCACAAGAATGATTAGCTTGAGGATTTTCTGTCTGGTTTTTGAGTCCATCATAGTACAGAAACTACACTGGTGAACGTCACCACCGATCTGCTTCTAGCTTCAGACAAGAGAACAGACATTACTTAACTTGCCTTGACTGGTTTTCTCACCACAACAAACTTTATTTGGCCCTTCAGCTGCTAACGGCTCTATGCTATGAACACAATCATTTGACTCATTCTTCATATCGCAGTTTTAAGGGTAAGACAATGCTGCCCCCTAGCTAGGTAATGATTGCAAAGATGTTGAACAAAACTAAACACCAACCACCACTGCAACAGTAGTACAGTATTTCATCTGTTGCTCTCACACAGGACATCACAAGACAAAACAAAAAGGCAAAAGTCCACAACGAGGTAAAAACAATATCTTCACTGTGTAAAATGAGATACAACCGCTGTAGTTGTCAAGGCTCGGCTAAAGGAAGACTCAAAATGCAGACTAAGAAGTAGTGTTTATTAGATTTTAATATAATACTGGACACTGTATTAACAAATATAAATAATACAACTCCCAGGGCTCAACCTGACAGGCATAACAAAGACATCAACAGAAAACTACAAGACAGTTCAACCAGGGAGCTAAATAACACACACAAAACTAAAATTCAAAAACCCAAGGGAACAAACCAAAACCCCAAGATAACTGATAAGTCCAACGTCCAAAGTCCATACATGAGGCAGGAGAATGAGTCCAAGAGTCACTACACACAACAACAAAAAAAAACTGGAGACAGATATAGAACCACAGGAAGAACAGGGGCAAGGAGAGTGTGGCAAGCAGACAAACCAGCATCAAACTGAAGGAAGTGATGAGAATATAAAGGCTAGAGACGGGGAGCCAACGAGCAATAGGTGAAGGCAATAAGTGGTGATCAAGAACTGGCGTAAAGCTGAGGCAGGTGAGGTGACACAAAACAGGAAACCCTTACAAAATAAAGGTACAAAACCGGAAGCAAGCTCAAAACCCTAACAGTAGTAGCCTAAGCACCATGCTGATAAACTGCTTTTGATGAGCCAGCTTATGTTGCAACATTTCAACAAAGCTAACAATTTCACTAAAATAATTGTGTTATATTTTTGTGACTTTTGCTTTTACCTTAATGAATCATATAAAGTGAATCAGTATCATCTTCATGGCCCCACACACTGGCATTGTCCACCCATACAGGCGTTCTCACCTGTGGTGAGGAGACCAGTCCTCCTGCTTGTACAGATCACACCTGACTGACATCTCCCTCACTCTCCTGATTAAACTTTTACTCTGTGTCTTTCCACCTCCGTTGAGTTTACATTTAGACAAAATGGCCTTGAATGAAAACTAACATAAGATGCATCTGCTGTGCTCAGGGTAAAGCATAGCTGAGCATAAAGCTGCAAAATCTCAGAACACAGCAGTGGGTTTTTAGAGTTCCAGACAAAACAGACCTAAGCTTAGAGAGAATACTGATTACTTAGATCCTTATTCATCATGTAACATCATCAGGAAGGTGCCTGATGTGTCCCAGATTTGTCTCTTAAGAGACAAGAAGAACAAGGAGCCTGCAGCAGATGGTGTGGCCCCCATGGCCATGATCTCAGCATCATGGAGTCAGTCTAGGATTACAGGAGGTAATGGATTTAGGCTGCCTCAGTGTCTTCTCTGCCATTCTCCAAGATTTGTGGAATGACCTACCTGCCAGGTACCTGGCAAAACCCTGCACAACTGTACATAGAAGAATTGGGGGTGTTTTTGATTTGTTCTTTCTATTTTCTGTACTTGCATGGTGTTAACTGAGAAATAAAAACTGTTCATAACATTGTTTTTGAAAACATCTTTAGCTTCAAAACTTTGATGGCATATCACTTTTTGGCCACTACTGCATAATTCCTCATTTAGGTCACACAAATCACAGGATTATTTTGAATGTTTCATTTTGCTTTAAATAAGTTGTATACATCCTGAAACCTAATAATGATATACAGCACAGTCAGCAAACTCACATTGGATTGTTATTTCAGTGTAGAACATTAATGTCTGGTTTTGTGGCTATGTTGTCAACACAGTCCCACAAGGAAACATCAACATCTGTTCAATAGAGTGTGGGAAGAGACAAGACCTCAGGGCAAGAAGAAATACTGTTATCAACAATAATAACTTGTCCTCTAATAATTCATATATGTGTTTATGTAATCTTTGAAAAGTAATTGTCATGACGTGCTTTTTTTATGCCATTGAGTCTGCAACTTGTGAGAAAATATGCCACAGTTTAGTAAGGTAGCTCTCCAGCTGTAGGTGGCACTATAGGGGAGAGACTCACAGAGGGGGTTGGACATTAAAAAACCTTTAAAAAAGCACTGTCCATGACATAAAAATGTAAAGACTGATCAACTGCCATTACTACAGCAGCCATCACTTCCCTGTCCCATGAGTTACAAGCTTCATTG